TTAGTGTGTTTTAGAGGATAAATCCTCCTAGACTCACTGTGTGATCCATGGAGGAAGAAGGCAGACCCTCTCTCTCCGTTATTAAAGAGGTAACTTAAGAAGATTAACCTCACTAAACTAGGGTTAGACTTTATGAACACTCCCTATCCTTTGTTAATGTTGTAAAAAATAAGAAAATTCTTTCAAAGACTGGCGTATTTTCAGAGAACTTCCTCAGTGTTTACTACCAGGAACAACAAAGCACATATCAAACTTATGTGTCAGCTATTTGGCTATACAGTGATACTATTCCAGAGGACAGAGCTGTCTTTCTTACAGAGGTATGTATTAGTAATTGTACCTATAGTTCTGGTTCCCTGAGCACTGACTCTTCAGACTTGGCTAGAGCTCCTTTCCAGGTTAGTTTTCCTATAAGGAAAGTAAGAAACCTGGGGATAAAGATTGACACACCCAAATCTTCCATGGATGCAGTATTTGGACATGAATGGGGCATACAGCCAGACCAAGGAACTTAAAAACACTCTTAGATCTTGCTGTGTGAACATAGCCAAGATGACCAGCACTTTTTTGCAAAGATTTGTAAGACTGTCACTGACACCACAGTCTGTGTGTGTCCATGGCAGCTTTTCAGCATGCCTCTGCTGGGCTTCCAACACTAATGCTCCTTTCAATCAGGGATGCAGAGAGGAGCTAATGACTCATAGCTCCTACAGGTATGGAGTACTTAAAGAACTGAGTGCCATGCCATCTCTTGTAATTATGTTGATAGGTTTGACAGGCCTAGAAACTTTAATAACATCTTAAAAGCAGATTTTCTGAAGTAAACAAGAAGCTCTTAACTAAAGGGAAATGGAAGAAGCAAAATGTAATTGCCTATTGCTATACCACTTATTTCCTCTTTTCTAAGGCAGCAATTCCTCCACAGACACCTTAGTTCTAGAAAGCAATGAGATCTGATGACAGCTCTCATTACCCAAAATTATGTTCACCTTCTTATTCTGATTTTCTGATAATTATAAACTAATAGTCTTACAGCTGGGGATTTTCCAAAGGACAGCACACAATTTTGGTTGTCTTATTGGACAAAAAAATGTAGAAAAAATCTGCAATAATTCTCCACAAAGCAGTTGACACAGGGAACATTAAGTTGGATACCAGAAAAAAACATCTTTTATGGTATTCACTGTTTCACATATGGAAGCATGTGCTAGATCATTCTCCATTCTCTGAAGAATATCAGAGGAACTCCATTGTCTCAGGTATCTAAATTCTGCTCCTTCTTTTCTATGCAAGTGATACTTCAGAAGATTCAACATAAGACCAAAGCAGTGTTTTTAACAGAAAAAAAAGATAGAATTTTAATTCATGAAGTTGATTGTCATGGTTTCAAATAGATGTTGCCATCTAACTGGACTTTAAAAGTTAGAAGACTGAAAATGTCTAAGGAAATAAAAAACCTGTTTCTTTATTGGCACTCATATGTATTATTAGCCAGATTGCTATGTATTTATTGGAAAAGGTGTATTTTCAAAGGAGAAGAAACTAGATCAAAAAGAATATAGCATTTTCTCCGTAGAGAAAACTACATAAGCTTTCCTTTCTCGTGGTAGTAATAGTCCTCAAGAAAGAGTATGAGAAAGAATTAAATGATTGTCCAGCAAATTCCACACATACAAATAAATAATTTTTTGACTAATCTACAAAGTAAATTCCTGTGATAAGACTAGACTATTTCAGGCAAAATTTATCCCCTTCTAGATTATCACTTCCGTAAGTTTTCTGTTATTTGTCCTTTTAGTTTTTCCAATATTCTCTGCTCTCAGCATTGTTTTGTAATAAGTGTATCATGGTAGACCTTCCTAGACATTAAAATTCAAGTGAATGATGAAGCCATCCCACTTTGCTTCATGACTGTTGAATCCAGAGGTTTTGAGACTAGAGAAACATTAATTGAGAAAAGCTGTGTTTAAGTGTAGCCACTTGTGTAGCAGTGGCCAGGCTCTCTGTTGGCTTCTCCCAACAAAACCTAGCACACAGGAACTTGAGCGGCAGAAATTCTCCTAGAGAGATGTTCCTAGATAAAAGGTGGCAACAAACTGCTTTTCTCTGGTGAATCATGGGAGAAAAAAAAGCTGTCTGAGGAGTAGCCATTGCCTGTTGGAATTGTGACCAAGGAAAAAAGCAAATTTTCTATTTTGGGGTTTGTGCAGTGTTCTCCCCTAAAAAAACTTTAAAAGTGCTTCTTGACAGTCTATCTCATGAAGAAAGAGTGGTAGAAACTACATTTGACTTCCTCTTGAAGTCAATACTTTCCTTTGTGTGTGGTAAGCAGCTGGGGCATCTCCTGAAAAGCTGTAAAGAGTTTCCTTTTATAGCTAGAAAGTTGGGCAAAGTAGACTATATAAAGGAAATTTTTGTGTTCCAGTCCTAGCCATAGATATAGCCTTGTGGTTGCAAAGTACAGAATTTCAACAGAAAGTAATACAGCTATTTCTATCTTCATTTCCACCCACAGCTCCCAAGGAATAGTCAGAAGCTTTGACCTTGAATCTGAACCAGGAGTTGCACCTCAGCCAAAAGGTATTCTTTATATTTGGAGTCTCTAGTGAAATACAGAATGATGGAAGAAAAAGCTTCCCTCACAGCTATTTCCTGTGCAAGTTAAAGGCAAACACTACCATTGATTATACTTTATTTAAAGGAACCAGAATATGAGAAAGGAAGGCTTAAAATACTACTTTAATTGACATACTCTTTACAACAAAAGAAAAATATTCACTAGCTTTGGTAGTACATTTGCTATTTGCTTTACCAGTGTTAACTGGGCTTACTTTTTCCAGTTCTGTGTTTTAGATTTAAGGAGAAGGCTAAAACAGACTAAATTGCTTCCTTGTGAATCAGAAGTATTCAGGTAGAGGACACACATTACTTAGCATCCAAGGGGCCACATACATATTAGCTTCATAAAATTCCTATTGAATGATGCAACTGCAGTATGTTGATTACAACTTTGCAAGACTTTCCTAAAAGTGGTCATTCATAAGTAAAAGCTTCCACACTTTTCCATATAAAACAAGGTCAACATTTATGGAGTCAAGTTACATTACTTCAAGTAGAAACTCAGAATGTGAAAAAAAACCAGAGAAAACTTAAGAGAAAGTCTTAACTGACAGCAGATAAAAAAAATCAAGATTGCGAGAGTAATGATCTCCTTTGAAACTTTGGAAACCCGTTCAGGTATTTTAAAGTAAGGATGACTTATCTTAGGGTAGAGATTTGAAACAGATTGTGAAACCTTAGAATAACCGAGATTGAAAACAAAGAGATTTATTGCTAATGGTTGGCATTTCACATAACCTCTTACCTTGAGGAACACAAAGTACACATAACAGTAGGTCTGACAGCTTGGCAGTAACAGCTACTCTAGTGGTAAACAAGAATGATAGCTCTCTGAACAAGCAGCAAAGACTTTGGTGGGAGAGAATCATCTAAGATACATACACAGTAAAAGAAAAAATGCTATAATCTTCTAAGGATGTAGTATATATCTCATTGTTTTCTGGTGCAGAAACAGGAGTGGGAGATGTCAGTCTTCCTTCACATTCATTCCAGCCATAAAGTATTTGTAGGGCACTCAAATAACCCCTTACGTGTAACGGAGCTGCTGATAAATATAACGAATTTTGATGTATAAGTGTGTGAACACCTAAAGAGTTGGTAGAAAAATGTAAGTTCCTTTATGAGAGATTCCAGTAGTTTCAATATTGTGCTTAGCACCAGAATACTAAGTTCAACAGCAGCCTAGAATAGATGCTCATTAACAATAACTAAAGTGTTAAATACAGAAAAGAAAGGTTATTTTGTGACTAGTGAATTACTTTGCATATACAAAACCAAGGTGCCCAGTTTCAAAAGTGAACTATAATAGGATGTACCAAGATAGTGAAAATGTCTACAATTTATATGTTGAGGAAATTAGGATTTTTTATAATTTAGAAGTGCAAGAATCTGAACTTCTGCTTTTATGGCAAGCAAGGAGTAAATATTGAAAGCAATAACTCCATGAACAGAAATTAATAGGAATAGGGTGGGTATGATCAAAAACCCAAAAATGATGGCTTAGAAGACAAGAATTATTACTGGACACGAAGGATGGATAACCTCAGAAAAGAACATCAGAGAAGCATATACTGTTTTTAAAAGTAAATGCTAGCTTCAGAGGCTGTAAGAACAAAAATTCTAGGATGTTTTGAACAAATATGTTAATGAATGCATTCAGAATGAATGTATATTCCTAGCTAAAAGTTTCATTAACTTTGTTATTTGAGTAGCAAATAGCTGAAAATCAGAAATAGATTTCTATTCCTTACAAGGTGAATATTTCTTGATCCACACAATCGCAGAGTTAATTTTATCTGTTGCCTGTACTGGTGTTAGTGTTTATTATGTCACCACACATGAATTTTCCTCCACCTGTATTTAACTGATGAAGCATGTGGATCCTTGGACGTGGTAACTTTCTGCTTGCTGCCGTCCAACTTTTCTTTTTTTCAAACCAGATGTTGAAGCTAATGCGTTTTTAATATGATACAATGTGTATTTAAACTGTTTACTAGTAGTCTGACATAACAGGTACATGCACCTCTGCCTCATGAATGTCTTGGGTCTAGTATGTGCTTTCATTCATTTAATTTCAGTGACAGGTCAGTGGAAAACAGTAATATAGCAGGTGGAATAGCAGCAGCTGCAAAGAGGTTAAAAACAATAAGAAGTCTGAAAAGCAAAATTCATCAGAAACTCAGAGAGGTTGAACACAGGCGAAAATTTATTCTTTACTGAGACTTCATGGTAATTGAAGTCTTGAGTGTCTCTGAGATAAAGGATACTAGTCATAGTCGGCAGCCTCGGTGACCATAGCTAAGCCCATTTAGAGGAGTAGAAGACTCCAATGGATTACATGGAAAAGTTTAGCAGTTGAATGAAAGAAAAGGTTGACTTACTGAAGTAAAAGCCTCTGTCTCCACACACGAACTGAAGAGCATCAACCAGCTCAGCACCACAGAGTGTTTCTGGGCCAGCAGCAACAGAACTGGTTAAGGTAAGCAAACACAGCCCAAGGTAGAAGAAATGGGTGTAGGACACAGTGTGCATCTTCACCTGCCAAGGAAGCAAAAGCAGTGTCAGAATTTCCCAACAGAGTCTTAAAGAAAAGAACTCCTGCACCCTCGTGAGCTGAGCATGAATATGTACTATAATTTCTTGGACAATAACTGTACTATCAGGAAATGTCTCATCATAATTTTGCAATGGTCTACATATTCCAGTCCATGTATTTTGTGAACTGAATATTTCCTCTGGTGAACATTCTTGGTTCACATTCACAAGTAAGTTAGGGATCCCTGTAGTGACTACAATTTATGGTTGCTCCTGCAAGAGGAGGATATGGGGGAGTGCAATAGACAGGCAAAGGGAAACCTGGAATGATAGAAGTAAGGAAGAGAACTTCGAATTGGTTTGTCTTAGACAGATAAGCTGAGGGAATATGAAATTTGCCTGCCAATGTACTGTGGGAAATGGGGGTGGCATATGATGGAGAAGAACTATTTAAACTAAAAGCCAGCACTGGCACAGGAATAAATGGCTGCAAACTGAATGGAAGGAGATTTGGCTTAATAGGAAGAGAGTTCTTTATTAGGACTCCATGATTCTCCAGCTACCTTAAAAAGGAAAATACCAGGACAAACCAAAAAAAGTTTCAAGGTACAGCTTGCCAGTGTTACTGGAACTGATGTGGGACCTTCCATAGTAGAGAACCACAACCAGTGACTCTTACAGTCTCCTGTTACTAACAGGCAAATATCTGGAAGCATTCGAGAAATGCAGCCATGCTTCATTGATGTCCATTATATCCTCTTAGTCAGGAGTGGCTATGAGGTATACACAGAGGTGATAATTCTTTTCTCATTTGCATTTGGTTATAAACTATCTTTTTTCTGTACTTATGATTGAAGAAAGGCCAATCCTCAATGGGTGTAAACTTGCACCATTCCATTTATCCACTTCCTTTAGTATCAACTTATGTCCAAAGATCTTACCCAACATATCAAAGAAGATGGGTTTGTTTGTTTGTTTTTTAATATTAGGAAGAGCTATTTACCTGTAGTAGCAGGACACTGAAGAATGTGCTTAATGCATACTCTGAACTTACTTAGATCGCTTGCCAAAAATGCTAGTTTCAAAAGGTGTAAATCTGAATTTAATTTCATTTTCTTTCAAGGTTAACATCAGTATTGCAGTCAGGTAAGAAGTTACAAATCTGTCTTCCACATACAGTTAAAATTGGCTTAAAACTGCTTTGTATTAGCAAACTAGTACAAAGTAATTGAAGTAAAATGATTAATCTTCCCTGAAGTTTCTTTCAGGGTTTCAGGGACCATTTAATCTTATTTCTTCACTGAACTTTTGAAAAACTGATGAAATTGTCTATTGTCAGATCAATTGGGATCTGATCCAGTGGGGTATTGAGTCTTCTCTAGTCAATAACTTTTAAGAATTCTTATTTGCTTGGCAAGGGATCTTAGTACCTTGCTAGATGAGTCCCCTATTTCCACTATGACAATAATGAACAAATCTAAATCCCATGATGTATTATAAAAAAGAATGAATAAATATTTTCCCATTCACAAGAGTCTTTAGCCAACTTTGCCATGCAAAACCCAACAAGCTTGAATGCACAGACATGACTGCAATGGCAGATGGAAAAAGATTAGATTATAAATGAATGATGGTAATGAGGCATTATTTCCTGTAATGATTCCATATCTTAACAACAACAATTTCTTTTTTCCTTTGCCATATTTTTGAATTTATAAGATAAATGTGATGCACCTGCAGTTTAAGATGGTTCCCAGTTCTGAGGAGGTAAAGCAGAAAGCTGTTTAGCACACTGCCTCAGAAAGCTGAAAGACATTACAAATACAAGAACATTATGTATTTAGCAATTTGTTCTCGTATAACATTTGGTCCAGAAATAAACATAAATTTTAGACATTTAACAATTTTTTATTTTTCAAGACTTCTCAGCTGGCTTGCATTTTCAGATAAATATCAGCACTGAACTACGACAAAACAGATTATCTACTGTTTTTCCTTTAGTGGAAGCCAAGAAGGCTGCACAGTATAAACCACAGAGAATTTCTAACTTTATCTCCAAATTTAACAACAGTCAAGAACTTTCAAACACGTAAAAACTTTGCAGAAAAGAAAACAGACTCACATGTTTCTAGGGTTCAATCAATTATTTGATAAATTAAGTACTGTTTCATTAAAACTACTTCCAAAACATAGTTTAAAACTTTAACTTTACTTCATCATTTTAATTAAACACAACATTAATTGATTCAATATGTTTGTGATAAAATCAAAGCTCCACTTTATGTCTGAGAGGAATATTCTTGAGAAAATACAAAGTTGTAATCCAATATTGCTTCAGGTTCTCTACAATCAAGCAGAATACTTACATTATCCCCAATTTGACTAGAAAGTTGAGAGCTTAAAAGAAAAAGCTTTGCCATGTGGGTGGGGTTTATTGAAGCATCTAATTACATTAGGAAATTGAATACAGGTTCAAGATGAGCCTGGTTAAGCACTTCTTTTAGTTGCATAGAATGACCATATTTTCACAGCTGGAATTTCCTTTTTTTTTCAGTAAAATAGCCAGCTTTTGCTGCATTCCTCTTTTAACAGTCCAGAAGAGTGGCACCACAAAGGAATGTCATATACGAACACTCTACATCTCATTTACTTCTTAATTCTTCTATGTAAGTCCTCTTTGCCTAAAAAACTATCAGTTGACAAAAGTTGTGCATAAGAATTCTTCACATACTCAGTCATTTTAGTAACATGTAAGAACATCTGCAATAATTATAAATACCTGGAGTGGGGCAACATATTTATGGACAGTATATTCTATAGAAAGAAATCAAAAGATATATACTCAAAATTACATTTTACTACAGAGAGGGTGGGCCTGATTATCAAACCATAGTAGAAATATGTAATTATTATGCAATAACAGTATTCACTAGTAATTATTATATAAATAAAGCCTATATACTCTAGAGCGGATCAAGGTTTAAATACTGTTAACTTTGAGTAAAGAATCTGGGCTACATGCTAACCTAAATCAATATGTTCCATTGATTCCAAGGAAGCTTGGCAGGATGCACAGCTGAGGAACTAGCACATTACTTTTATGTCTCTTAGTGCCTTGCTCAATACTTTAAAAAAAAAAAATCTTCATCTTTCAAGTATATTGGAAGGGATGCCCACTTATACATTAAGGGAATGATTTCATCCATTACAATTACAGACCTGTAATTAGGTCATTAAGGAATGAGATAAGTGTGTTTTAAGTGTAAGACATTGTAAAAAAATAATTAGGCCTTAAACAATTAAAACAGGATAATTCTTTCAACTGCATAAATCTCCTTGCAAAATATTAAAAACAAAAAGTTCTTGACGGATGTAAATTTGCTGATAATGGAAAGTTGAACTGGAGCCAATTGACAGAAACAGAGGTCAATGCACCTACTGAAGTCAAATTTACCTAAGACAGTTTATATTATTGTGCAGAAATTATAGGGTCATAACATGAAACTTCATATGCAAACTTTCCTGAAACAGCCCTCCCTAGAAGGGAGAACTTGGAGATGAACATGTAAGGGAATTTCCATTTTCTTTATGTACAATTGCTTAAGCTGTACAAATATGCAAGGTCAGCAAGAGTCGCAGCTGGTTTCTAATGTAGAAAACAAACTGAACTTCTCATTTACTTTTAATTTATGAAAGCAAAAAACAAGCAAATGCTACGATGCTGCCAGAAAATTGCTGCAGTGACAACATCCCTTGAAAGTTTCCTTGTGAAAGCATGAACATTTTCTCTGTAATTGTGTATAATAAAACTGCAGAAACTTAACATTTGAATAATACCTTTTTTCCTATAAAACCCTGCACCTGCAGAAAATAGCTAAAAGTTCTTGTTTTCAGAAGCATTCATTAACAATATAGACAATGATGTAATTGGACCTTTTAATAATGACATAACTGAAATATTACAAAGTTCTCTGAATAGAAGTGAAATTTAAGACATGTATATGCAATACTTTACCCTTACAGTCATCTATGTAATTGCAACTATTACATACAGCCATTTTCCAGATCACATAAAATTGCATGTTCAGCAATTTATAAATAATTCTCAGTTCTAAAATAATGTTATTGAAAAGTGCACAATACTTTTCAAACCAGAAGCAGACAATACACAGCAAAATAAAACTAAAAAATTATTTGAAATAGTAATAAAGATTTACCTTCAAGAAATCACACAAGCAGCACTTAACTAATTGTGTTGAAAGACTGTTGATTTTTTCCATTGCTTCTTAAAAGTGCAAAGTCTGGAAATGAATTTGTTAGCAGTAATGATGAGAAAAAAGAAATCCAGAGAGATGTGAGATGTTGAGAGCAATGTCACATTTCAATATTGAGGACTTTATTCCATTGCGCAGGCTCTATCTGCTCTGATTTTAGCAGTGACAGTGAGATTTAGCAAACAGAAGAGGGATTTAGAGAAAATCCTCACATTTATCTACATTACACAGACACTGTAGACAGGAAACAGCTGGGGGAGCATTTGCCTTCTCTCTCTCTCCCTCTTCTGGCAAAGTTACCGAGTAAGGACTTTTTTGGGCATGGTGACAAATAACATCATACCTTTGCATTTTAAAACTAGAGCACAGAAGCATATTTTTTTCCCTTTAAAAAAATATGAATTAGTGACTGAGGGGTTAGCAGACAAAAAGAGCTTGTGCTGCCATGAAAAATAAGAAGATGCATTCTAGTTAACTTTCAGATAGCTGTGTTTGCATTTGTATTTATGTGTGTGTGTGTCTGCATTTCAAATACATAAAAACTTATATACCTAGGGGCAATGTTTGTATATATGCATACCTTTGCGTATATACACACATTTTATTTTTGCATAGAGGCATAGGTATTTTATTTATATAGTACAGAAAAGCAGGCAGTCAGTTATCTATGTTTTTCTTCATGCGTCTTTATGTTATTAAACTTGGCACGCCTATATGCTGAGTAACAATTAAAACCTCCAACTCTCTGTGTGATTAACCCTAAAATAGCAGTTTGTAATTTGCTAAAAATAACAAAATTGTCAAGCGCTACTTGTAAATAGGGCAAAATAGCTTTGTGATCTTTCAGCAACCACACAGGGGAAATCGTATAATTTCCTAGAATTTACAGTACTATAAATATAGTAGCACAAGTAGCCCAGTTTGGGGGGCTTCTATGATGTGTATATTAAATCTGCTGTTGTAATTACAATGTGATTTCCCCCCTTTTGAGTAGTAATCTTCAAATTACTCTTGATAACAATTTACTTGACACTGGGAAAGAGAGAATTCAACTTTATTAGTTCTGCGATACCTAAGTTTTGCCTTTTTTATTTTTCTTCAATTATGAGTATATTATAAATAACACCAGCTGGCCAGCAACATGCTCTCACGGGTTATGATGTCATTCAAATCCCTCAACTGTGTTAGTGGCTTGCAATGTGCTCCAAGCCAGCTGTTTTTCTATTTATAATGTATGCTTGCCTTTCAATACTTAGCTATTGAGAATAAAGTTGTGATGTTGTTTTATAGATACAGTTTGTACTTGTTACCCTTTGGATTTGTAAGATGGCATTTAAAAGTAGAGGACTAAACAAGAATGCATCTCCAGAGACCAAATACATGTCACAAACAGTGCATGATTTCCATAAAAGCTGTTTCAGAACATTGCATTTTGTCCCTGTTAGCTTCCACTCAACTGAGAGTTGCATGCTGAGGTGCTAGCTGTACTTTATTATTGAAAATAACAATTGAGATCATGTTGGCCCAGATCTCTTCTCAGTTTTCAGATCCACCTTGAACTATATGGTGCTTGCCAGGCAGAAAGGACACATTTAGTTATTTGTATCCTCTATGAATGGCTAATACTCTGCTCTGTGCAGTTTTAAACACTGTATGGCTAGCTAAGCTGATTAATCTTAGAAAGGGATTTCTTTTAATGTAACATAAAGGCAGAATCACAGGGGGCTTTGAGGTAAGTTTGCTTAGTTCAGGTAATACTAATAGTTCAAGTATTCTGATACACATTTGTACTGCAGGTGCTATATTTTAATATTCCGGTCTGTTTTATTCTTCCCTCTGCATTTGAGAGGTCACTGCATAGTGGCACCATTCTACACATAGCTTGATAAAGCCTGATGCTACTTATAGTATATGTATCACTTATTTCACAAGTCTTGCAGAAGAATGTGGGATGACAAATTAACAAAGGTCTGACAATATTTTTTTTTTTTTTTGCTTTTACTGTACTACAGGTGGGTGCCCATACTTCTACCTTTTTCTTCCTGAATAACAGAAGGAATACCACTCCCCCAGTGCCTGAGCTGCAAACCCTTGTCTCTCTCTGCACTGCTTGCTTTCTCCTAGGTTTCACCAGGCCTTTCTTGGCATGAGAGCAGGATGCAGTAGAAGATGCAACTTTTGGCTTTCAGGGTAACCAGACAATCAGTGTCTCTAAACAACTGATAATCGTGTTTGCCATTCTGAACACTTTTCCTCAATGCACCTCACCAGCCTGAGGTTCTGATATACTTCACTTATTTCTTTTGGTTCTTGTTTTAAAGTGCTTATGCAGTTACATACATTCCCTTGAATAAAATGCACCTGTTAACTACAGAGTTTATGGCAGTCATCAAAATACTCAAAAAGATGTCCAGGTCAAAAAAAATTATTTAATTGGAATGTGTATAGTTATTCTACATTAAAAGAATATAGCATATATATTTTTGTTTGGCTTCTTAAATATGACCTGCAGTGATATAATAACCACAAAGACATATTAAATGAGTGAGAGATGTAACAAGGTATTTAGGAATTTATGTGTCCTGATCCTCATCTTTTACACTTTAATATCCGTATGACATCACTAACATGCTCTGAAGCTATAGAGTTCCTATGTCAATTTTTCCAGGGACAACTCCATTTTATAGAAGATAGCAAAACTAGAAATAATCATTTATCCAAATTAATATACTGTCCCTCCTTAAATCCTTTTTAAAAGGGTAGAAGCATTGTCACAATGCCTGAAAAAGTCTGAACTATAGTAAGGCAACCAGTGTGCATGCCTCTTGCATTCTTCTGTATTAGATCACTCTTACCTATATACAGTTATTTGTAGCTGTTTTTCATTTTTTACTTTGGGATTACAAGTTTTCTGGAACCAAGATAGAACCACTATAATAGATATCACCTGAGAGGGTGATAGGGTGGAGAGCATGGTGGGATAAAGCATGGAAGAAGACAATAAACATGGTGGCTGGTGAACAGCTGTTTTTCATTATGTGAAAATAGCAGAGACAAGATTGTCTTTGAAGAAAGTGGTGAAGGGGTGTATCTTATTAATATGAAATTTGTGTTGAAGTTAGTGATTAGTTAGGTATATCATGGAAAATTCCTTTCAAGTTAAAAGTTGAGAAGTCAAGAACAAAATCATCTTACTAATTCATTTGTTTTTTAAAAAAAAAAAAAACCTCAAACACCTTTTTTCATGGTGACCTAAGCAGTGTTGTCGCTAGATGAAATCCAAGTAACAAATGTGGTGGGAAGGATGCGGGCACGCAATCTGAGCTGTCATTACATTGCCAGCGTTGAAGAGACACTAAGGAGAGAGCAGTGCCATGGAAAACAGTTTCTCACTTGGGTGAACAGGGAAAGTGCGAGCTTCATGATTGAATTTTAGAGGGTCATGTAAATTGAAACCTTTCGCATTCGCTGATGAAGAAAAGCATAAGTGTTTCAAGAGCAGGATGGATGTGTGAGAAACTCAGTCCAGAACTACTGCTTGTAGGCAGTAGTGGTAGAAAGAATCGATGTCAGTAACAGGTCAGAATTAATCTATGGACTTGTAAACTGAAATTACTGAGTATTTCACATTTTGTAGAGTAAGAATAGTAGCTTTGCTGAGATCAAAAGGCGGCAAGGACTTTTCTGCTTGCAACTAGCATGCAGAGAGTATGGTGAGAATGCTCTGATGTAATAAAGTACTGTGTAATTTTAATTTATAGTACAAATTAAAGTAGCTACTATTTTGAATATCTTCATATTAATAATTAATATTAATACAATTTGAATATCTCCATATTAATTCTAGTTTCAGGAACAAATGCTGCTAAAAATGATACAAAGCCAAATATCGAACTTACTTTCCTACTCAAGTGAGATATACATCAGCTCCTGGATATATTTGTTCACAATTTAAACACTTAAATTTTTTAAAACGATAATATATTATGGGAATTACTTATTAATAAAGTGGCATGAAATGAGGTATAGTTATGAATGTGATACAAAAATACAAAATATGAGAAGTAATATTAAATAAACAAAACTAAAAAGCTCAAACAAAATGTGTTTCAACATTTCTGAAAGCATTTTTTAAGTGTTGTTTTTTTTTTTTTTAATTTCTGCTTTGTGGGAAATTTTGAAATAGTTTGTTCTGATTCAGAATAATCAAAATACCAGAATTTTCCATTAAACTGGAAATTCCCAGTTTTAGCTGTTTGTAGTCTTGCTCTCACTTTCCCAATGTTAAGCCCTGAATAGATGATCTTTAGTCCAAAAAAAGTTGCTTTCTTTCTTATTCCTAAAAGCAGTAAAAAAGCCAGAATCAATAAAGGAAGAAAATTAGGAGATATGACTGCATAAGCTCTATGCTTATATGTATAGAAAGAAGGTAAAATAAGTGGGAATTGTGATGGGCAGCAATTTACATATATGTGTATATCTTCCTGGTAGATGAGGAAGATCATAGGAAGTGAAATGCATGGCCTTAGATATTCCTTTAATTTCCTAAACTGTTTCTTCCACATTTAGGTGAAATGTAGAGAAATATTCTTTTCTTTTTTTTCCTGAGTCATCTCAAGGCTAAATCTATGATCATAGATTTTTATAAAATAGAGTCTAGTAGATATGTTTAATGGTATTTTGCTTTTTCCATAAATTAGACACAGGAATGCCAATGTCTATGTGTGATTTTGTTTTTGGTTTTTTTTAATTGATGACTCAGAGAAAGCTGTAAAGAGAACTGAATACTGGAAATTTTATCACAAGCAGGATATAGACAAAGCAAACAATGTGAGCACATGGCAAAAATGCCTGTCTGTTTTATCTCGGCCTGAAGAGTTCTTGCATGAGTTACAAACTTCAGAAAGTATTCCTTATTAAACTTATAAGCAAACTCTATTTGGAGATGAAAAAAGATGTTTTAAAACAAAATAGAATCTCTGCTTCGACCATTTTTAATTTCTTTAATTTACAATTAATCTGGTTCTTACTGTATGTCTTGGGACTATTTCTTCTGGATTCATTTCACTCTCATGATTTACTACGCAGAAGGAGCTTATCTGATAAAATTTGTGCAGTGTTTAGTGGACTGAAGCCGGTAGGTTCTGCACCTTCAAATACTGAGCTCCCTCCCATAAACAACCTCACCTAATTATAATTCTTAGATTTTGGTCAACTACGCTTTCAT